TATTCCGATATTTTTTAGTTGCTATAGTGAAGTGTTGTTATAAAAAATAGTATATATTATAATATAACATGAAAACTTGGTTTCAAAGAAAATTTGGTCATTATAGTTAAGTATTGTTAAAGGTAAGTCTGGGTGTACTCTCAATCAAAACAAAATTTGATGAAAATTTTCATTGATTTACGTCTGCCTATTAGGACAACACAACGTTAAAGTTTTCATATCATTTCAAATACAAATAAGGATTATATTGATCAAATAAGCAATAAGATATATTGCCAGGCACTTTATTAGAGGGCAACAAGCCAACAATAAGTGATGACGCAAAACAGAAATAATAAAACTTAACGGGCTTTCCTTAAGGATTCTTGAAAGGTTTGGGGATGAAAGCTGAAACTCGAGAGTACATTCACTCACCCTTGAGCGCGTGGCGAAACCAAGCAAAGTATCACAAATCAATCAATCAAAACCCTTCGTTGGATCTCTCCTAGTTGCAGAGTTTATAGGCGCACAAAAGACATGGTCAGCTGAGAATATCACCGGAAGTTCACAGTAAACAGGTGGCGGCGCGTGGCTATTGTTGAACACCAAAGCGGAGATGCCGGAACATCCTGCTACTGACTTATCAGCCACCGACAATATTGGAACTGTCAAACGCTATGCCCCTCCCAATCAGCGGTATTCATAATGATTTTTATATATGTTCACTGTTTCTAATTCCGGACTTGTTTTATTGACTTGCTAAATTTGGACGTGTTTTTATTGAATTGATTTCGTCTGATCTTTTCCTTTTTACCAGGAATCGTTCACTCGGTAGGCGAAAATCTGGAGGAGGTAACTTGTTTTGATATAGCTACAAGTATAAATTTTTAGCTACTTAGGTTTTATTTTTAAGTTAATTGAGATATGTTAAGCTTAATGCCTTAATTTACATGTAATATACTGTTATGATCAAGACTAATATCATGTAAAAAATTATAAATAAGCTACTAGAAAGCTAGCTGTAGCTCTTATGATGAGTACCTTGTTCATCTTATATGGCTAATCTTTTTTACTCAAATGTAGTATGCATATTATTGACAGTGTTTTTGAAATATCTGATGGTGTAATTAAATGGTGATCGTACATAAAAAATTTGCCAGGGTATAGTAACAAGTTTGACACCGGAAAGTTTGGAAACAATTGTGTAAGATGAATTTACTCTGGAGGAATACAGGGTCCTGGAAAACAGGTCGTTTCCGATAAAATCACTAATTCCAGTGACGTGAGGATGCATTATAAGGTTGTTTCCATAGCAGCTGCTAATCGGTGGAAACTAATTTTTTATTGTAGTACTTTAAAGTTGATTGTTTGAACTTAACTCCAAATGTTGCTCTCTTCTTATTATTGCAGCATCAGCAAAACATGAAGCTCGATAGTTCTATCGATCTTTAGAATAGGAAGCCGTTTTCGTTTTTCTTTTTGCTACAGGAGCCAGTGTACTGGATTTTATAAGCTTTTCTTAAGGACTCTCTGTTATAGCGTGTCTTTAGCTGTTATCAACTAGTAGAACTGAACCTTCTTTAAGGTTAGTAGATTTGTATACACCAAAAAGGTGAGCCAATGTCCAGTCGCTGGGAGAACACAGGGTAAATAAACTTTTAAAATCTGAGTTGATTTATTGACATCTAATAAAACTTAAGAAGATTGTTATACTCTCAACTGGTTAACTAGCTTTATTTGTGATGTATGGACCGAGAAGTAGGATGGCTGGTGTTCTTTGCCGATGGATATTTGGTTGGAATTAGTCTTTCTAAACAAGAAATCTAGTTCGACCTTTTTCTGATTGTTTATTGTACAGATCGACTCGAACGAGCTAACAGCTACGCTAGTGATGGAGAGAAGAACCAAATCAGTGCCTCTAGTTCTGTATCTACTGTAGCTGATGCAAGTGGTGTCAATCGAGCGAATGAGTATCCTCCAACAAGGTTAATACCGCTACAAGGATGTGGTACAAGTGAAGCTTTTCAGCTACTGAATGATCGTATGTTTCTTAGATCAAATCATGAGCTCTTAATTTTATCAATTCTGTTATTTATTTAATCACTTTTATCTGAATTACATTGTCATATCTTAAATATCTTTTTTAGTATTCCCTTTTTCAGATGCCTTTTCGTGCCATTTGGTTATTCAGATTCAATTGTTTTTTCTGTTCACTCTTGTTTGTGTGTATAATATTTTGCTTTGTATATTCTTTCATTCTCTTTGTCATCAACACCAAAGTGAGCTCTCTATGGATGCTGAATTCGTACAGTGTAGTAGTAGAGATCAATGGTGATTTGGCTTTTGATGTGATTCTTCCATCATTTACGAGCATGTACTGGTGCTCTTCAAATTATTTTCTTTACTTTGCCTGTTTCTTGTACCAATCCTTGTGGACCTAATAGTTGAAACAGACAATGTATATATCAAGAGTAGTAAACTTTATAACTTCAAGTAGTAGACTTTATAACTTTTGACTTAATGGAATCCCCTCGATTATAAGATGCACTCAGTCTTTGGTGTGGCACTTTTTCCATTGAATTATCTCATCTTGCATAATCCTTTTGATGAAAAGCTTACCATTTCAACTTGCTTGAGCTGATTTTGAAGTGAAAGTTGTCATTCAAGTCGACATTTAGCGCAGATTACTATCATGTATTGTTTTGTTATATAACATTTTGATGCACAGTCCCCGTAATCCTCGTTTCACAATACGAAGTCTGACTTTGTGTATATCAAGAAAACAACCTATTTTTTCATTTACTTTCTATATATTAAGGAAATGGCCAATTAATCAGGTTTAAGAGGAAAGGGTTAATTGCTGCTTCTGGCTATAAGAAACTGTCAACAAAGAAAACAACGACAATAACCAAAACCTCAACCCCAAGTTAGCTGGTGTAAGTTATATGAATCTTCACTAGTCATTTCGCTCCACTGAGACTTGGTCTGAAGAAACTCTCAGCAATAGCCCAAAAAAAAATTAAGATAAAGAAATTGCAAAAATCTTCAAAACTTCAAGTGCAGGCGGTGGAACACCAAAGTAACATCATGCGCATTAGTCAATACTAGATGTGTTTGCCCCCCAAAAAAATAAAATCTAAATGTACCATTTTCCCCTTGGACCTACAAATCTGCATAAAATTGAGCTCTGAAATATATATTCTTTTGGCTTTCCTAGATCAGAAAAGCTTCAAATTAACTAGGTAGACAGTGAGACCTGTAACTGTTTAAGGGTTTTGGATGGGCTAGAGAAGGTGCACCAAGAAAGAGGTCGACCTGTCGTACTAACATGCTGACTTCAGCAGTCCATGGGGAGAAGACATCTCAAAATTCTATTATGCATGGGGTTTTTAAACCCCCTCCCCAACCCAAAAGTCTCACCGTGACATCATTTATATATTTTGGTGATATTAATCATACTGAAATTTTGGTAATTTGTTAACTAGCTTTCAGTCTTGTGCATCAAAATTGGTATGATGCCTCTAGTCACTATGATCAAGAAGTCACAAGTGAGAATGACAATGAAGTTTCCTCTTTTTTGATAGGCTGGGCAGCTGCTCTGAATGCTCACAACAATTTACCAGATGATTCTCTTGGTAAGAGTTACAGGTTGCCTTATGCTAATCAATCTGATTTCTTCCTTGATTTGCACTGTTTTTTTTAATACATGAGAATTTATTCAGGAATTCTTTTTGCCACCTTTCGCAATTGAATTTGTGTTAGAATTGCTGTGAAAATCTATATTCACTACATAATGGATCCATTTGTGCTTCTTTCAAAGTAAACTTCATTTACTCTGAATCAAGTCTGGATGGTATGTTGAACACTTCAAAGCCTGGAAGAAGTCTGAGTTTGTTTTGTAAATACCATGCACCTCCTGGGTGCTTTAAAGGTACATAAAATGACCCTCATTTTTTAAGAAAAAAAAGTGAAATGCTTCTAAAGCTATGAATGTCTTCTCTGGAATAATTTAATCCTTTTGTGTACAAAGTTCATGCTGACTGGGTAGTCATACCCAGTTTAAATGGCCTAGATTTTGGACTGTCATCTAATATAGTAATGCCAAGTCTCAATGTCCTTGCGTCTAAAATATGTTGCAGGAAGTGATGTTTTTGTTGTTGTAGTTCTCTGTGTTGAAGGAATGGCCTGGACTTTGGCTTAATGGTATATTGCTAACTAAGCTTTGATGACTGTGTCAATAGGCGCAGATCAGAAAGAAGTCCCAGGAGATGTCAGAGCATAAATAAATCTCACTTCTATTTGTTGTTAAATTAGACGATTTCTCCAATTATCATTAAGAAAAACAAAAAAGTTATTTTCTCCATCTACTCTTCTGATCACAACTAATTTGGCTATCGTTCTGTTTACCCAGAAAGGCCAGTCATGTACACGAAAAGATCACCCTGGGGGCACGCAATGCTTCCACATCAAGTAAGAGGCAGTCTGCTGATTCGATCCCCCCTTCCCCTCGCTGGGTCATCTCTCCATAAATACTGACATTCATCTTTTGCTTTCAGTTAATGTCACAAGCAGGAGCTGGATCTTCTACTGGGTCACACAAGGATTTTTTAAGTGAACTTCGGGTGGCAATGCTCAGTGCAAATGCTATTTCTGATGCCTAACTATTACTGTGAAGTGCCCAAAACTAAGTTATGCAGTTACAGAATTCTTTGCACAGCAATGAGTTAGGTACCCCTCTTGTATGCTATCATCAAAGCTGAATAACTACTTAATATTTAATTTGTTTGAGAAAGACAATGTGTATCATTAAATTGGCAATTCTGCACCCTTCCACATTTCTGTCTTTACGCTCAATGAATGCGACTTCTAATATGCCTCTGATGAATAGTAAAGATGTGTTTAAATAAATGAGAAGAACCCTCCTACTGCGCCAACGGCATTTAAAAATACAAATCGATGTTGGTAAATGTAGGTTGTGGAATAATGGTACTTTATACTGCTGACAAGTCCAAGAAATAGTAGACAGTGTAAACTAAATATTTTAATTCATTGAACATTAAGCTGGCGAGGGAATATATACAAAAAAACCCTACATCAGCTTAGTGACAACACAGTATTTATTAAGAGGAACTAAAATCTAAACTGTTATGCAGAATCTAGCACTATTATCATACATCTGATTTTAGAAGATTGAATTTTTCAGCTAGTATATAAGTGTCAGCTAAACCCCATTTGGAGATTCTTTGGACCCATGTACAGACATTGGTGATCCTATAGTAAAGCCATCATCAGTTGAATGGTTAGAACCATCTCTAGCAGCCTTTTGTGCCTTCTTCTTTTTCACCTTCTCAGCCCATTCTATAAGGCAAGCTTGAACATGATCATCAAACATTGACTTCTTATAATGACTGCCCATCTATAATTTCATGTCCAAAAGAAAGGGGAAAAAAGGATTTAGGAGGAGGATATTCATGTTTAAGTTTCATTAATAGAATTCAAACATATTGCATAAATTGTTTTGAGAACTCACCTGTGTAACTAGAGCATAAAGTGGCAATGTGCTATAGCTGCATAAAACCTGAATGAATACCCTGGAAAAGATGAAAACAACCTTCAACATGAACACTGACAAATCAGACATAAAGAAAAGTGAAAGAAAAAAGTCAAAAAACACTAGGTGATTTCTTTTCATCTGCTCAAACCTTGGTAGGCAGAGGTACCTGGTACCGGTGCTGGTGGGGGTAGAGGTACCTGGTGGAATTAGTCGAGGTGCGCGCAAGTTGCCCCGGACACCACCGTCATATATATATATATAAAATAGGGAATATTTGCCCCAAGGTGAAGGATAAATGGGGTTATAAGGTAATGTTGATAAGGAGTAGTGAACTCTACCCTATGACAAGCCGAGGGGTAACGAACACGTATTTTCCCATTATGCAGGAGTAAAAGCCATACTGGAACTACAGAGATTAAAAAAAACATGAAATTAGAAGAGAGCATTTAACTGTAATAAACACTGAATTGAATGGTGTGTTTGATTAGCTTACCAAAATCCAGAAGAAAAATGCTATTTCAAAAGCATTTTGGAAGAGAATAAAATGTATCAAGAAGAGGACGATTTGAGGGCGATCGAACCAAAAGTGACTATCAGAAGGTTGTACAACCAATTCACCTTCTACTGCTACATGTTTCTCAGCAATTTCATGAGCTAACTGTATAATCACATGCTCCAATTTTGTGCCCACAGCAAGCAGAAGCTGAAAAACACGAAATGAAGAACGAAAAGGCAACAGAAATCAAGTCAGCTTCTTGCTGCAGCACAAGTCTTGTAGTGTAAAACCAAAAACAAACAGCATAAAACACACACGGAAGGAAAAGACTTTCATGTTTAACGTTCATTATAAAAATTTAAGGCTCGATAGAGATGCTGACTAGTATTTTGGTCATGACTTGAACACAAGCCAGGGGCGGAGCTAGCACACGAGCTATAGGTTCGGCTGAACCCAGTAATTTTGGTTCAAACCATGTATTTGTCTTAAGAAATCTGCGCCAGTGTAAAAAATGAAATTCAACATTTTTACAGTAGCATTGAATAGATACAAATTATTAATTTAGAACCCAGTAACTAATGATCTAAATTGCGAACCCATAAGCTTCAAAACGTGGCTCCTCCTCTGACACAAGTACCATGCAACTATCACGAAAGGTGATCATGTCCTGAATATTAAATCATAAAATTCTGAAAAATAACACATAGTTTTGGAGATAGGCGTTTCTATAAATTAAATCAAAGCTCAAAACATTGGAAAAGTTTATGTTGGGATCACTCACAATAAAAGGAATGAAAGCAATCCAGAAATAGGTATGCCAACCTGCACAAGCATAATTATTACAAATAAAATCATAGCAATGGCAAGGTGAACAGGTCTATTCGAAGTTTGAACTGGTATACCATTAATATTAAGCAACAAGAAGAGGATTACGAATATCCAAAGATACCAACTGCAACAAACAAAAGCAAAGAATAACAGTTAATTTGAAGAACCAGCAGAGAGAAAGAATGATTTAAACTCTTTTTAAGAGCTGAAGAGGGAAACGTTTAAAAGAGCTTTAGCATCATCCTATCACTTATACCTGATACCAACAACTGTCCTAAAATCGTCTTCCAGTGCACGTATCATGTACCTGTGAAAATTGAATCTTGGATTTCCCCTGCAATGTGTCTACACAAGGAATATGCTTTTACTACATTATAAGCTTAGTAAAAGCGCGCACAAAATACATGGTAAAACAAGAAGCCAGTATCTCACAAGTCACAACTCAGTCTGGCCAAAAAAACATAGTTACCATTATGAATCCCAAACGAAGTGCTCTATAGTCTTCCTTGTTGACAGAAGCATAAAATTGCTTAAAGAAAGAGTGCTGCAAATTTTCACCAAAGCACAGTAAGTAGTAAACTTAAGACAATCATATAGAAGGAACTTTACACATGTCCTCGGACTTCTTTATTTTTCTTTCTTACTCATAAAACTACATATTTCAGATTTCTCTTGTTCTTATCATTCAAGTTAGTTTTGAAATTTCAACATAACTCAATGTCTCATTCACGACGTTTCTCACAAATAAGGACCTATACTTGCTAAATTCAAATTGTCCGCCATGCTTCAACACTTAATGTCCTACTAAACTTGGTTTTGTTGGGAATAAATCCCCTACAGAGATAATATTTATGGAAATAAAAGCGAAATACCGAGATACGATAATTAACAAGAATAAAAGAGTAACAACGACACCAAGATTTTACGTGGAAAACCCCTTTGAATAAGGGAAAAAATTACGGTCCCGAGACGAGCAACTGATATCATTATAGCAAGGAATTTTACACTTTGTAGGTCCGAGTAAAATACTCCAAAGACGACTACAACACTCAAAAGAAATAACCCGATATTCTCATCTCACTACAATATCGCTTACTCTCTATTTTTCTCACAGACTATTTTCTTATACCCTGTCCGTGAAACCTCACTCTTTCTTTTTAACTCTCGGATATATTTTTCCTCTGAGATTGGTGTGTAGAGATGAGAGCCGAAGCTCTCCTTTTATAGGCGGAGCCTCACTCTCTCACGCCTACTATATTTGACATTTTCCTTCAATTGTTGACAATTCAGAAACGGTGGCTGCCAATTCAAAGAAAAAGACTTAGAAGTCTTTATCAAAGGCCTTAAATCATGGGATGAACCCCACAAGTCTTTATCAAAGGCCTTAAATCATGGGATGAACCCCACAAGTCTTTATCAAAGGCCTTAAATCATGGGATAGACCTCACAAATCTCCCCCTCCAGTCCCATTCACCTGAAGGAAGTAACACCGGAGATTCTAGTTTGAGTGCATACCGACAAGTTCTTTGCATAACTCAAACTTGTCTCTTGGTACTACCTTGGTCAGCATATCCGAAGGATTCTCACTTGTATGGATCTTCTTGACCTGCATAGATCCATCCTCTATCCTTTCTCAAATCCAGTGATATCTCTAATCGATATGCTTCGTCCTTGCATGATACATGGTATTTTTGCTCAGGTCTATTGCACTTTTGCTGTCACAATAGACGACATACTCCTTTTGATGCAATTCCAGCTCTTGAAAAAACCGATTCAGCCAAACCATCTCCTTGCCAGCTTCAGTAGCAGCAATATACTCTACTTCAGTTGTAGAGAGTGCAACACACTTCTGCAACTTCGACTGCCATGATATAGCTCCCCCCTGAAAAATGTGAACATGTATCCTATAGTAGATTTACGATTATCAAGATCATCTGCCATATCAACATCCGTATAGCCCTTTAAGATTGGATCAGACCCTCCAAAACACAAGCAATCTCCTACAGTACCTCTTAGATACTTGAGTATCCACTTGACTGCTTCCCAATATTCCTTTCCAGGATTTTCAAGAAACCTGCTGACAACACCAACTGCGTGAGCAATATCAGGTCTAGTACATACCATTACATACATCAAGCTTCCGACTGCTGAAGAATAAGGAACTCTAGCCATGTTCCCTTTCTCCTCCACTGTTGTAGGACACATCTTCTTGCTCAACTTTAGATGACTAGCAAGAGGTGTGCTTACTGGCTTAGCATTCTTCATGTTGAAGCGTTCCAGTACACGTTCATTGTACTTCTCCTGAGACAGCCACAACTTTCTACTTGTTCGCTCTCGAACTATCTTCATACCGAGAATTTGTTGTGCTGGGCCCATGTCCTTCATATCAAATAACTTGGACAAATCTCCCTTCAACTTTGCGATCAGTCCCTTATCTTTTCCTATACCATTAGACCTTTAAACATCAGAATATGCCAAATCAAGTATATTTAATTTTCTTTCAGACGATGTCTGAAATGAGACTCTATGCTGCTTACCAAATAAACAGTAGTCACAAGGTTTTACCGTTGTACCTTTGGCATAAGAAATGAGTGATTTCCTGGCAAGAATCTGCAATCCCTTCTCGTTCACATGACCCATTCTTTTGCGCCACAAGTTTGCAGAAATCTCATTTTGTGCCGCGTTCAATTCACCTTGGCATATTTCTGTATTTGTCCTGTACAACGTGCCACGAGCAACTCCCTTTGCAATCACTAATGATCCCTTGGTGGGTCTTCATTTTTTATTTGTAAAATAGTTCTCGTATCCATCTCGGTCTAAAGTAATTCCCGAGATCAAGTTCATCCGCAAATCAGGTACATGTCGCACGTCCTTTAGAACCAATGTGTATCCGACATTTGTCTTGATACAAATGTCACCGATCCCCGCAATCTTTGAGTAACTCGTGTTACCCATTCTCACAGTTCCAAAATCACCTGCTATATATCTGCAAAAAATTTCTCTTACCGGTGGCATGGTAAGATGATGCTGTATCAACCACCCATTCTGAATTTGGACTTGATAAGTGCATGCATTTCTCTTACTCGTTTATAAAGAGGACAACATTATCATTGTTTTGCACCATGGCAGCTGTGTTGTCGTCATTCTTCTGGCCACTAGTTTCACCTTTACCCTTCCTTGGATTTGGGCAATCTCTTTTGAAGTGACCTGGTTGATCACAATTGTAGCAATTTCTAGTTCTTGATTTGGATCGATTCTTAGACTTTCCACGAGCTCTGGATCTACCATAGTTGCTCGAACTCCTTTGATAACTCCTGCCTCTACCTTCTATGATGAGAGCCTGTCCTTGATTTTCAGGCTTCTTTCTCATCTTTTCATTGAGTAGAAGAACCGATGTGACATCTTTCAACTCAATGATAGTCTTACCGTGCAGGATTGTTGTTGCCAAATTATCGTACGAAGATGGCAACGAGTTCAACATCAAGATGGCTTTATCTTCTTCCTCGATTTTCACTCCGAGATTGGTGAGCTGTGTGATTAGTCCGTTAAACACATTTAAATGTGACAAAAAATTCGTACCTTCACCATGTGTAGGGCGTATAGCTGCTTCTTCAGGTATAATTTATTTGTTAGCGTTTTGGACATGTATAAGCTTTCCAACCTTGTCCAAATGCCACATGCGGTATCTTCATCAATGATGTTATTTACCACATCATCTGATAAGTGCAGCCTGATTGCACTAGCAATCCTTTCATCCAAGTCAGCCCAATCCTCAGCTTTCATGGTATCAGGCTTTTTGGCATCAGCATATAGTACCTTGTGTAATCCTTGTTGGATGAGCAAATCCCTCATCCTTCTTTGCCATGTTGAGAAACCGCTATCTCCGTTAAATTTTGCTACCTCGTACTTTACTCCGGATATTTTTATTTTTCATCAAGTATAGTACTACCGACAGTGAATAATATTTCTGTGAACGAGCATAACCTGTACTCTGATACCAGTTGCAGGGAATAAATCCCCTACATAAATAATATTCACGATAATAAAAGTGGAATAATAACGTAGCACCGAGATGCGGTAATTAACAAGAATAAAAGAGTAACAACGACACCAAGATTTTTACGTGAAAAATCTTTTTGAATAAGGGAAAAAACCACGGCCCCGAGACGAGCAACTGATATCACTATAGAAAGGAATTTTACACTTTGTAGGTGCGAGTAAAATATTACAAAGACCACTACAACACTTAAAATAAATAACCCTTTTTTGATAATCTCACCTCACTACAATATCGCTCACTCTTTATTTTTCTCACAGACTATTTTCTTATACCCTGTCTGTGAAACCTCACTCTTTCTTTTTAACTCTGAGATATATTTTTCCTCTGAGATTGGTGTGTATAGATGAGAGCCGAAGCTCTCCTTTTATAGGCGGAGCCTCACTGTCTCACGCCTACTATATTTGATATTTTCCCTTCAATTGTTGACAATTCAGAAACTGTGGCTGCCAATTCAAAGAAAAAGAATTATAAGTCTTTATCAAAGGCCTTAAATCATGGGATGAACCCCACAAGTCTTTATCAAAGGCCTTAAATCATGGGATGAACCCCACAGGTTTTATGCTAATATTTATTGTCATTTTGAACCAACCAAAGCATATATTGACAACTAAAAATTGAAATTTGAGTTATTAATGTCATGAAACAGAACTCAGATACTAATCAGGATTGAAAAAAAAACGAGTAGAAATGGGCATCTATGCACATAAACATAGATGAATAGCATCTACCCCATCTTCACTAGCATAGATTTATGATATTTTTCTTTTCTATTTGCACCGATAAAATTTCAACCAGAAATAAACCATTTCTGAACTAAGATATTTGAGGAAAATCTTGACAGTGACAGAACGATACATTATTTATTTCGATCCCAAGTATAAAAGACTAACATATAGACTCTCCAAAACCTAAAACTACGTAAAGACCTTTCCCAAACAGTTTTCTAAACGCTGTGAGAATTATATGATTGACATATAATCATGTTGTACTCTAAATTCAGAAACCGCATTAACCAAAACAAACGACGAAATGAGTATAGGCTGAGGTAACCTAAGATATGCAGCTAACTATAAGATTTTACACATACTAAAAAGGAAGGCTTTTTGCGTGCGTTCAAGTACTAAGATGTGATATTGTTTTCCTGAGAATGGCCAACATACTTATTAGGGAAGGAAGGTGCTTACCACCCAACCCAAAATGGCTGATTGTTTACCAATACCCTGAAATCGATTCCTGATGAAATCATGTTCATGAACATGTGTAACTGATGGTCTCAGATAATCTGCAAAATGGCGCGTAAATATTTAAATTGGAAGAACTAATAACATACAGTCGAGACGTGATGCACAATGGAAGTAACATTATGTATACCATGCTCAGACTCATAATTATCTTTTACGATTGAATCCTCCCAGTATTTCCATTGACGTATCTATACCATTATTAAAAAGATTACAAAAAGTCAATTAGACAATAAAAGTAATCAGCATAAAAGTATATGAAGCTTGAAAATTTTAGTACTGACCTTTGCTCCTCCAAATACAATAGTCAGAACAGAGAAAGTCACATGCACAGTAGCTAGGACAAAAATAAAAATGTGAAGGTGATGCAACGCCTCAAGAGATAGTAACGGGACCTTGTGCTGAAAGAAAAATGAAAACAATTATTAGTAGAATGCAATGCAAGATCGATTATCAAAAAACTAAAGTTTGAAGTCATAGTCTACTATAAAAAGGAAAAATTGCTACGTACACATATTTCAGAACCAGAATTGAACACTAGTGTTTAGCTTTAGTATCAAGAATTAACAAAAGCTAATTTTGAAAGTCTTAGGTAATATTACTCAAATGCAGTTAACATAATATCATTCACAGCTCGTGTTACTCTTAATCAAGCTGGACCAACATTTTGGTTTGTTTTGGTACAATACAATGCAAGTAGACTGTGATGTCCATGACGGAGGGCGGGCTGACGAGGGTCGGTCAAGCAGGACTGACAGGCTTCTAGGCTGGCAAGCTTCTGAAGAAGGGGTGCATATGTCACCTTAGGCGAATCTCACATCGGAATGGGAGAGGTAAGTAAAGAGCTTTATAAGGCATGACACAAGTTCACATGGTACGCGCGCTTTTGGGGCTCAAGGTGGGTAGCCCGGAAGACAAATCCGTGCGAGCCTAGGCCCAAAGCGGACAATACGTACCGTGAGCTTGGGTCGTGATATAGACCTAGCAGGATTACTCAGAGTAGGAGAGATACATTATAAATCCATAAAAGTTACAACACTGTTTTCTTTTTTCTTTGTATAGAAGCCGATCACATAGCTTCTTTTTTATTAAGGCAGATATCAGAAAAAGCAAAGTAAGTGGAAGTAAGAGGAAGATAAAAGCAATGGACTTGAGTACTTTGTGATGGCAATAACCAACAACAGCCGCTTCTTCTACAAGCAAATGCCGATGGTGATGTGAATGCGGACTAGCAGGAGTCGATTCATGAGACGAAGATGAATTTGCCTCCAACGATAACGAGCAAGGAAGTAAGTGTTTTACAACATCTTGATGCACACAGAATTTGACAATGCGACCTTGAAATACCGTTAACAGCAGGGATATAAACCCCAACAGCATCAACTCTGCACATTCACATTCACAAACCAATTCATAAATGCAATCATAAGAGTATAAGACTTGTACTTCAAAATAAAGAATATGAACTGATACAGTGATTGAGATAAAAGAGCGATTTAGAACCTTCTTTAACTTTCTGTAAGGCTTCATAAAGATGCTTCTGTTTCTTCTTCTTCAAATGCTGCACATATTGTTAGCAAACAGGAACTTGAGCAACTAGAATAAGGTAAAGCAACAATAAAAAATAACAACAACGAAAACAATTATGTTTCCAAGCCTAAACAAGTTTGAGTCTACTATATGCATTCTCTGTATCATTTCATTCTACTTAATTTGGAACTATCCATAATCTGGAAAAAGAAAATAAAAAATAAAATGGTGGAATCTTCAATTCGAAATTCAAATTAAGTGCAGAAAAGGAAAAACTGAAAGAGGGAAAAAAAATAAGATAATTACATAAAGATCCTATTTTTATTATTGAAGGGGAGCCTTGGCGCAATCGGTAAAGTTGCTGCCATGTGACCAGGAGGTCAGGAGTTCGAGCCATGGAAACAACCTCTTGTAGAAATGCAGATTAAGGCTGAGTACAATAGACCTTGTGGTCCGGCCCTTCCGTCCTTCCACGGACCCCTGCATAGCGGGAACTTAGTGCAATGGGCTACCTTTTTCTCATCCTATTTTTATTATTATCTTTGTTATGTTGGTTTCTTAACATAAGACAGATTCAAACAAGACAATCTTTTAGATGCAACGTGACAACATAATGTATATAAATTTAAATGCACGTAAATGTTGATTGAAAAATGACAGAGAAAGAAGGAAAAAAAATTATTGAAAACATAAAAAGACTTTTGAAAAATTGTCTGAATCTAAAAAATTGCAATTAGACCTTTCCAGTATAATGGAGGAAGCGTTCAAGAGCTAAAGAAATGGAAACAATGACGGTGCAAACAGCAGCAACAACCCACGTTGGTGTAAATTCCAATGATCCTTCTCCTTCATCTTCTCCACCTCCACCCATTTTTCAACTTTTTTTATATATTTTTTCCAATCAAAATAATAACTGCTCCCTCGTTAGTAATTGTTTCATGAAATGTGTAGTAATTAAAGAAGGAAATTAAAAAAGGAATCACACCCACAATAACAAGCGGGCGTGATATAAAATGGAGAAATGATCAAGAAAAGAATGAAGAAATTTGGAGGGAATTAAATGACAAAAATCTGCAATCGTTTTTTCGGGTATTTTTTCCGACAATCATATTCATCTGCATGAATGTTGTTGATGTGTTTAACCCTGTTTTCATGAAAATGATATTGAGATGTGATGTGTCAAGTGTCTCGTATTCATTAACGTAGTCCATCTATACTATATTACAAGTGTCGTATTCATTAACGTAGTCTATCTATACTATATTACAAGTGAGAAGCTCCATAGTTAAAATTGAATTATCAAAATATTCATAAAAAACTGAAAGACAATTTTACCCTTTCTTTAAATACTACAATTCCTATAATAGTTTTGTACCAAAAAGTAAATTTACATTCTAATAAATAATAAATTTTATATTATTCTTTAAAACTGATGCATTAACCGAACTTCTCTTCATTTCTCTCAAAATGCGAAGAATTTGAGGAACTGATCATTCTTTATCATAAATAACAACGGATTTTTACCTTCCTATACTATATATGAAACTTTATTACCCTTCATAATCAAATTTTAACTTAATTACATGGATATATATAATTTACCAATTATATACAAATTAGTATTAATGAGTATCCCTTTATATTAGGAATTGAATATGGAATCCGTTATTTCCCATCCATGTTCTCTCTCTCCGTCTCTCTTTCTCTCCTCCTCTGTTCTTTCCCAATTTTTTCTTCCTTCATTTTTCTATACTTTTTATCCTCTCTTTTTTTTTTTCCCCAGGGAACCCATCAATGAATTTCAATTATTTTAATATAGAGTTTTAATTTCACAATTTTCTTTCATGTTGCACAATTGGTGTTCGAATTGAAATTATCAATCAATAAATTTTGAAGGTGACTGACTCTCCACCATTGACAACCATTAAAAAGCTTCAAAGCTTTGAATTCGAATTTGGGTTTTCAAAAACTATTATTTATTTGGATTGGGTGTTGTTGCAAACAATTAGGAATATTCTTTGGAGCTTATATCTCAAATTTAAGGGTGTTTGGTCAAGATTAGACTTGATTTTGGCTGAATTTCAGATTGAAACTCGAAGAAGAAGAAGAAGAAGAACACATGACATACAATAGTTACGTAATTATATTAAAGTTGTATTTAAATTGTATTATGTTGTAATTATATATATTTTTATTTGAATGTTGTATAAAAGTTAAAAAATAGTTGTATAATGTATGAATCGTTGTATGAAATTTGTATTAAGTTATTAATTCTATCTTTTTACATAAAGTTGTTGATATGTATCAAAATTGCATTAAGAGAGAAACTTTTGATTGGAATTTCAGAGAAGAAGAAGAACACACCACATACAAAATATATACAAATTAGATACAAAATACGTACAAAAGACATTGTATAAAATTTGTATAAAAATTATATTTAAGTTGTATGATGTTGTAGATGTATTTAACTGGGTAAAAATTATCACGACCCAAAGTCCAACTAGTCGTGATGGCACCTAACCCAGCTCGTTAGGTAAGCCAATTATCCACTATCCAATTCCAATGTAAATTAACAAGACAATTAAGTAAAAGAAAATATCTAAATCTTATACATTCCCCAAGGACTGATAGTACAAATCATGAGTTTCTAAGAATAGAGTTTACAAAGCTGGTATGAAATAAATACATCATCTGTTTGAAAAATACATAAACAGAGTTTTATGAATCTAAGGCTACCATGAACAAGAGGCAGCTACCACCGGAACGCAGGTACGTCTTCAATTCTGGCTCCCGCCGAGCACAACAATATCAACATCCAATATCTGCATGCAAGGTGCAGAAGTGTAGTATGAGTACAACCGACCTCATGTACTCAATAAGTAACAAACCTAACCTTAGGTTGAAAGTAGTGACGAGCTTGTACCAAGGTCAGAGTCCAACTCCCATAACAACAGTTCATAACAACATAAAGCAAGTAATAAAAGAAGTAACCCAGAGATAAAATGCTCAGCTTAATAATGATTTCTGAAAATAGTTCTGCCTCTCAAGTGTATCAATGAAAGCTCAAGTCTTTTACCGAAGTTGCAAAAAACAAATATGAGTAAGTATGAAAACAATAATTTTTCAAAACAAAATCCTTTCTATAATAAATAAGATGTTTTATTTTCTTTCCAGATAGCCAGTGAAAAATGCATCACTATGCCCATATGCCAATATGTGTGAGAAATCATGAATGACGTGATACCGTACAACACGAGAAAAATGCATCTCTATGCATATATGTCAAATGTGCATGTTAATGCGATGCAACTCAGTGATAAAACCATATGCATACTCTCAGAGTATCATTTCACTCAAGCCTCCCAGTCACTCAGACCTTCCAGTCACTCAGTCCTCATAGTCACTCGGCACTCGCACTCAGTAGGTATCTGCGCTCACTAGGGGTGTGTACAGACTCCGGAGGGGCTCCTTCAACCCAAGCGCTATAATCTGCACGGACAACTCACGTACTGCACGGACAACTCACGTGTTATAGTATCATAATCTGTAGACGCATGGACAACTCACATGCTATAATAAGCTAATCTGGCCTGCTGCTGCGTGCAATCCGATCCCATAATAATAAAGTATATAAAGCCAATATGGCCTGCTACGGCATGCAACCTGATCCCATAATTATCCTCACAATCAGGCCCTCAGCCTCACTCAGTCATCAATCTCTCCAGTCTCTCGGGCTCACAATATCATGAAACTAGCTCAAAATGATGATATGATGAATCAATAAATAGCAACAGAGACTGAGAGATGATATGAAATGAATGATCATGACTGAGTAAGAAATTTTAATTTAAACAAATAATTCAACAACAATATGACCTATGTGGGTCTCAATAATACTGGCAAATAGCCTCAACATGATTTTTAATATGATTCTCAGCTCAATTTCTTTAACACATAAAACTACATAGAAAATGCCAAGATTATTTGACTACAAAATTCCACGGAATCAATTACGTCACAATTTCTATAGTGCACGCCCACACGCCCGTCACCTAGCATGTGCGTCACCTCCAAACAATTCACATAATATGTATATTCAGAGTTCATACCCTCAGCTCCAAGATTAGAAGAGTTACTTACCTCAAACCGTGTAATTCTTTACTCCGCTATGCCTTTGCCTCACAATTTTGCCTCCGAAAGCCTCGTATCTAGTCACAATTAATTCGTTTAAGTCAATACAACTTACAGGAATTAATTTCATAGGAAAATACTAATTTTTCAATAAAATCCAAAATTACACTAAAAAATCGCCCGTGGGGCCCACGTCTCGGAATCAGACGAAACTCACAAAATCTGATAACCCATTCAATTACGAGTCCAACCATACTAGTTTCACTCAAATTCGACTTCGAATCGATATTTAAATCCCAAAAATTTATTTTATGAAATTTCTACAATTTTTCCTCAAATTTCCATCTCAAACTACTAATTGAATGATGAAAACGATGATATATTCATGTATATTAACCAAATCTGAGTTGAGATCACTTACCTCGATGAATTTCTTGAAAATTCCACGAAAAATAGCCACAAACTGAGCTCCCAAAGTCCAAATGTGAAATAATACCCAAACCCTCGATTTTATAATACAGAATCTGACCCCTCATTGTGCTGACCGCACATTCCAGGTTCTGCGGTTGCACTCCAAATTGTGCGGCCGCACTTCAACACTTTGCACTACCAGGCTTCAGTACAATATCCATAACTTTCTGTACAAATGTCTAAATGATTAATGTTATTCCTTTCTGGAAACTAGGTTCAAAGGGCTACAACTTTCGTTTTTGAACCATCTCCAAATTCGTTGTGGATTAAAAGATATAAGCCTCCGAAGTCGAACCATCGAACCTGCAGAACCCCCTGAAGTGCGGCCGCAGACAAAATTGTGCGGTCCGCATTTTTCTTCTATGGTCCTCACATTTTCATATGCTGCAGCACTTTTTTATTTGCTACAACACTCCAAAATGTGCCTCAGCACATGAAATTGTGTGGTCCGTACTTCTAACGTTCCATAACAATATCAGAGTGCCGAAATGCCCGGACATCACTCAAAACTCACCCCGAAACTCACCGAGCCACTCGGGATCCCGTTCAAATATACCAACAAGTTACATAACATAACACGGACCTACTCGAGGCCTCAAATCACATCAAACAACATCAAAACGTCGAATCGCACTTCAAATCAAAATCTATGAACTTTGAACTTTTAAATTCTATATCTTGTGCCGAAACACATCAAATCCATCCGGAATGACTTCAAATTTTGTACAAAAGTCATAAATGACATAACATGGCTAGAAAATATTTCAGAACTGGATTCCAACCCGATGCCAAAAAGTCAACTCCCCAGTCAAACTTCCAAACTTAAATTTCCTATTTTTGCCATTTCAAGCCTAATTTAGCTACGGACCTCAAAATAAATATCCGGATACACTCCTAAGTCCGAAATCACCATACAGAACTATTGGAACCATCGGAATTCTATTCCAGGGTCATTTTCACATAATTCACCATCCGGTCAACTATTTCAACTTAAGCTTCCAACATGAAATTCATTCTTCCAAGCTAACTCCGAAATACCTTAAAACCAAAACCGACAATTGACAGAAGTCATAATATTTCCTAGGAAGTTATTCAAGACTTCAAATAGTTGAAAGGAGTGTACATGCTCAAAACGACCGATCGGGTCATTACAATCTCCCCCACTTAAACATACGTTCGTCCTCGAACGTGCCAAGAGTTGTTTCCAAGCCATCACATCACTATTCCATCTTACCACGCATATACCCTGGGGTGATACCACGCCACCCTATTCCATATAAACCTGGCAACATAACACAATTGAAGATCATTACTTTAACCTTAGTCCGTAAAACTTAGAGCCCAATTTCCAACATCCAAAATTTCTTACAAGACCCGAGTCTCACATCTACACACTGTATAAGTTTGAACAAGCTGTATCAAGCCATAACCATAACCTCAGATATAATCACATAACATACCACACAAATTGCATACTCGCAGCACCATTCCCGATCATAGTAACTACTCAAAAACCAACCAAGTA